GGGGGGGGGGGGGCGCCTGCGCCGTGATTTTCTTGATTTGCTTGGCTGTGAGTGGGCTCCCAAGTATTCAGTCTGAAAAGGAGGGTGGGTCCCCTGCCCCGGTCCCTAAGAGATAAGAAGCAAAACAGCCACTGACAAAAGGTGGGTGAGAAATGGAATCGCTCTAAGAAGGTTCTTCGTGACCACAAGTTAGACAAACAGCCCTACCCAGTACTAGGATTCGAGGTCTCCCCAAGTTGGGGTGGGGACTTTTTCCTCGCACTGCCTCCCAGGCTGACGCGAGTGAGAAAGGGGTTAAGTGGCTAAGGGGTGCTCTTCCGCCCCCACTACGTCTCCGCGCCTTGGCGCGGCCGCTCCTTTAGCTGCGCCCAGAGTAGCACTGTGTGGTCGCGGTCACTCTTGGAGGGGGGCCCGGGTCCCCCCGTGTTCGACGGCAGGCGGATCCCGGGACGCTCCTAGTCCCTCTAGGCCGGCGGGGGCTGCGGGAGCACTCACCAGTTTGGGTTTGTTTTTCGTTTCCTCTTCGTTGGAGGCCCGGTTTCCCGTGCTCCGCTTGTTGCTCCGGCCCCCACCGGGTTCCTCGCTGCCGCCTCCCGCTCCCGACGCCGCCGCCCCGGGCTGCTCCATCTCTCTGGCCCTTCACCTGTGCCCTGTAACCCCACCTCTGCTCAACTGAAGAAGCCCCTCGGGTGCTCACGCTGCCCCGCGCTGACTTGGCAGCACGTCTTCCTTATGGAGAGTGTGTCTGCCAGGAAGCTACAGATTTCAGGCCCCCGGGGCTCCCCGGCACCCCCCCCGACGCAACCACAGTGTTGCCACTACTCGGCGCTGGGGCAAGCCCTGCCCCTAAGCAGCTGCAATTACCACGGTCGCCGCCGCCCTCAGGGCGGTGTTTAGGGTAGAAAGAAAGTAGGTGACTATCTCTTTAAGAGGGCCTCAACGCACGTGATTCATCAAAGTGCCTACAGCCGACTGCCCCGGCGCGGAAAGCTGCTTCCTACTCCGCGCTCAGCCGGCCAGGCTACTGAGCATGCCCGGCGCAGCGACCAGAGCCTGACAGATGACTTGCAGCTGAGGTTAAGCACTGATTTCACTTCCTACTGGCCTACTGTGAAATGGGAGGGAACTTGTCAGGAGAGAAGTGGAGTGGCCCATTTTAAAGATGGGCACACTGAGGAGCAGGAGGATTTGCTTGTGTTTCATTGGTGGCGCGACAGAGTGTCAGCTTCCACGGGCACAGGCCACAGCACTCTCCCTGAAGGAGGCCTCTCCGGGGGTGTGGTCTGGCCACACTCTGGGAAGTTTAATTAGCAAGGCAACTGCCAGCCTATGGGCAAACCGTGGGGAGCCCTGATTAATTGCCAGCCCTAGACAGATTGTTTGGGTCAAAGTGGAAAGAGTGGGTTCTTCTATTGCCACAGTTGCACTGTGACAGAAGAAACAGTCCTTCCTTTATTCCCAGACTGCCGGGTAGTTGAAGCAGCAGGCACCCACCACCTAATCCCGAGGATGTTGTTAAGCTCTTTAACCAAAGCACAAATATAGAGTTTACAAGTGAATTAAGTGTTATTTTCAGTTTCTTGAACTAGTTAAGGTTTAGGATTGTTGTAGAGAGTGAATAAGATCAAGTGTGCCAAAGTTTTGTTTGACATGTTAATCCCTAGACAAATATTGTACTAGGTGTTTTTGTGCTCCAGCAGCAGGGTCCTTGAGTTGTCCCTAGGATTTTTGTTCTCAGGAAGAGGCCTATGTTATATTTTTTTAATCTCATTTAAAAGGCACCCCTCAAAAATCAAGGTACGCACAGAGAACATTAGAGGAGCAGGGCAGGATTTGAGTGAAGCACGATTACAGAATAAGAACCCATATGCTAGCTAAGCTACTACAATGTAAATTTAGACACCAAGTCCATAAACGTGTTTATATGCCTGTTACTGACCATATCAAACTGGGACTCCCTTTGCCCTTCTCCTCAACTTAAAATCATCATGCTGTATTGAATTTGAATCTGAACATATTTCTTCCAAGTGCATTAGGATGAATTTGACAATGATATAGGTGGGAAACAAATTTGAACCTTAGAGTGAAAGAACATCAGCTATCTGAAAACAGTTTTAATCCCAGCTTTGTCTTTGTGGTTAAATTTATTTTTAATCACACATGACTTCTCCACCCCTTAAGTGGTAAACTACCCAAGGACAACAAGGAAGAAGGAATACTTGAGGACCCCACAAGGTCAAATTGCTTTGTTCCTGTTTGACTTAAAATTTTATGAGTATTTTGAATTTGACTCACACATGATTTAATTTATCTAGATGTCACCCCTCCTGAAATACTGAGTAAATGACTAGTTTATCCAATGCTTTCATGCAATTCCTGTATGAGAGATGTGGGCGTGGGTGCAGTTGAGGGTCTTCCAAGTTCACATATTGCTCAATAATCTGCTCAGTAAACATTTCTTGAGCTCCTTAGAGTAGGCCAGATGATTTACAAAATATTGTGGGTTAGAAGGATGAAGATGATAGATTTTCTGTCCTTCAGAATCTCGGGCTACTGGGAGAGACAGGTAAGCTTATGGAGCACAGGAGAGAGGTAACTAACCAAGTGTCAGAAGCTCTAAGACTCCTTCCCAAAGAAGACATTGTTTAAACTAAGTGCTAAACTTGTTTGTTTGTTTATTGGTTTAGAGACAGTGTCTCCCTGTGTAGTTTAGGCTGGCCTTGAACTCACTATGTAGCCCAGGCTGACTTCAAACTTAAAACAATCCTCTTGCCTCAGTTCCTGAGTGCTGGGATTATAGGTGGGCACCCATTTGAACTTCTGTTTAAAGTCTCTTAAGTATTTGTTGGCTGCCTACTAGCACTAGATATTGTGAGTACAATAGTGAACAAAGACAGGAGTAGTTTGCTCTCATGGAGCTTTCAGGCTATTGGGAAGTGTATCAAACAAAAATGTATTGGGCAATTATAATATAGACAAATGAAGAGCATTCTAGACAACGGAAATGATGATAGCATATAGAAAGACTCTGGTTTACGAAGTTGAGGTGTGAAGAGATTATTAGCAAAAGAAGAAGCAGAACAGATGACAAGCTTCCAGATCTTGAAGGTCCCTGCTTGTATACTTCATTATTATTGTTTAAAAAGTGGATGGCGGGGTTGGGGAGAATACTCTAATATGAATGAATGATTTCTGTTAGGAATATATAAATAGACCTAAAGTAGATTGATATTATTTTGAATGTAAGTTTGGGTTTCACCATCTTCAGGCCAGACTAAGCTATATTTGATATTCAATTAAAGATACCTGTAAGAAGATCTGTAGTCTCTTCTACAAAAAAGTGAAAAAGTCTCTCCCTGATATGGTTTACATTTGACTTTGTTACCGTTATCTCAGCTTCTGTCTTAATGCTTGATGTTTGATTTTTCAACATTTTGCACCAGTTAATGTAGTTTAAGAATAACAAGACAAAAATAAGTAAAAAAAACACAAAACTTTAAACCTTTTCTTCAGGCATCAGGGTAGCCTCTCTTGAAAGCTAACACAGGAATGGTGCCACTGCTCTCAGGCCAGAACACTTTGTCCGTGGATTATGAAGCAAGCACCTCACCAATTACCACTGATCTCATTTCACCTTGTTCCTTGAGTTTTGCCTCCCTGGGACATACAGATAGGCTGGTGGATGGAGAGACATCTTTTCTCTGATGCTGAAGAAAAAAGGAGGCTACCCCCATCAATTGGAGTATCAAAAATGTACTTTAAATACACTGACCTTGCAGTCTTTCCCTCTGGCTTCTCCTGAATATAGCATCCAGTCAGCATGTAAAAGCCACCCCTGGGAGGACAGAAAGATAAAAGGCTACTAGGTGTTTTGCAGAATGAGAGATCCTTCAGGAAGACAAATATGGCATTATAGCAAAATGTCTGGCACTTTAAAAAAAAATCTCTTTGTGACATCTAGTTTGGTGTTAGCCACATACTATATGTGGCAAGCAGACTGAAAATTACAATTCAGAAAATCCAGTCACAGGGATTGGGATTAAGAAACAAATTACCAGTCCCTTAAGAGGTCTGGCAAGACAAATACTGAGCAAAGCAGAGCACTGGTCTTAATGGAACTAGGTATCAGATGAAGTCCATGAAAAACAGGCAGACACAGGGAAATAAAACTGGAACCCAAAATACACAATTACTTCACCTAATCTGTGAGATCAGAGTAGACCCAACAGCCATATATCTGCTTGAGGCTAAACTGGGAAACTACTGAAGTACTCCTCTTTAAATCCTATGTGACTAGGAGCAATACTGGTCCCAGTGGAGGAAACTAACACCAATAAGAAAAGACCTGAAAACAATAATTAGCAGTAATGGTCATTCACTTGGAGGTAAAAGTTAATGGTTTAGGTGTGGTGATTATAGGGTTTGGGGCTAGAGAGCCAGTCTGCTACAGCATAGCCCCATAAAAATTTTCCCAAGAGACAACAGTGGCAATTTCTCTCTTAGGGAAAGGGTCATGGGTGATAGAGACTGTCAGAATCCCCAGATTCAGGTTTTATAGAATGTGCTGAAAACTACCCCTTTAAATTTTATCTGGAAAATGTGCTTCTATTCTATATTAACCAAAGCTGCAAAGTGATTTTTAAGAATGGCTTAACAGATCATGAATTATAATTGTCCAATGTATAAATTACTAAGACATAGGGATAGTAATGAACAGTGAAAGAAAAGCTTTCGAATTTCTTCTTTAATTATGTGGATCAGAGAAACATACAATGATTTTTAGGGATACTACTTATTTTACAAAGTTTAGACTTTTAAAAATGTCAATAAAAACAGTTCCAAAGCAGGACTCAAAATTGTACAATTAAAAACTATTATCTTCTTTCCTTTTGTGTTTGGTGTTTATTTTCTGACCTTTTCAAAAATATTACATGAAAATTAAGGAACACATGTTGGACATCTGTAAATAATAAAGACATGTTTTTATATCTGGACATCAACAATTAGGCAAGTCTAAAAACAGATTTATTTGTTTTTATATATTCTCTTACATCAAATTTAGCATATTCATGGAAATATAATTCACATATCATACAACCCACTCTTTTAATATATCCAATTCAGTGGTTTTTAGAATTGTATTACTATCACCACGGTCAATTTGATAATATTTTCATCACCCAAAAAGAAAAATTTCACTCTTTGTTATCACTTCCCCCAGTCCCTTCATACCACCCACTCTCAGCCCAAATAATTACTAATCTACTTCATGCCTCTATAGATTATCCTATCCTGGACATTTCATATAAATGTAGTCATGCAATAGATGGTCTTTTGTCACTGGTTTCTTTCACTGTGAATATTATTCTCAAGGTTTATCCATTCCACACCAATTTTTAACTGCTCATTATTACCTATCTGTTTACTGGACACAGATACAAGTTGTTTAAGCCCCCTCCCCTGCTATGCATGCAGTGGTAAACCTATATCTACTTATAGAGTTGACATTCTGATATGAACACCAATCTTGCCTGTGTCTCACCTGGCAAAAGTGGGAGATTTGGGGTGTGATTTTCCTACATAATAATGTAATAGAATTCTGAACCAGGGCCTGATATCTGACATTTTATAGAAATGACCACAAACACTGTGTATAGTCAAGTATGCATTATGTACCAGCATAGCTCTTGAGAGTTTATATAAATTGATTAAACAGAGAAACCTAGAAACCAATGGCTTAAATTGTATTTTACTTACTACAGTAGCAGGGAATATATACATAAGTCTTACTTATTTTTAAGTCTTCTATTCCAACATATTAAAAGCTAAAATGTACAACAGCATCAAATTCTTTCTGGAGGACTTCTTTGTAGAAATGTGTGTGTGGGGTGTGTGTGTGTGTGTGTGTGTGGTCCTGAGGGTCAAATCCAGAACCTTGTACATGCTGGGCAAGTGCTCTACCACTGAGCTACATCCCCATCCCAGCATGCAACATTTTAGGAAAAATTTGGGAAAAGACTTTTGATCACTGGATGATTTCCTGGAAAAGAGACACCAAGATAGCTAATTTGCTACTGCTTTATTTTTAATTTTTTTTCAAATAGCCGTCTAACATCGCCTGCTGCTGCTTTCAAAAGAGAAAGG